CTCTTTCCCATAAGTTTTAATTTTCCAAGATGAAGTGCCCAGCATGCCTTTTGGAAGTTATTTCCTCTGAAGTACTGATCTCTATTTTAAGTTAACCATTCCTGTTATCCGCCGTCCTAGCTGACCGTGTGGAATTCCCCCTTTCACCTCTGTGTTCCTCATTGGAAGTGATCTCCATGTGGGCAGGGACCACAACGTGTCCTGGTCACCGTGAAGGTACAGCGCTGGGCATAGAGCAGAGATGGATGGATGGACGGATGGATGGAAGGATGGATGGATGGAAGGATGGATGAGGAGTCCACACAGAATAAGCCTTTATTGGGAGTGGGTTGAGGGAGTCACAAGTACAGGCCCTGGACGGTGCGCACAGAGCGCTTCCAGCTGTCCTTCCAGCGCTGAGCCCCCTTCCCCTGCAGTGTGCTGTCGTCCTGGATCTTCTTCAGCTCCTCTTCAAATGACGCTAAATATTTCTGGGAGCAAAGCAGCAGGAGGAAGCCACGTGAGGAAGGGCTTCTGGGCTCTGTGCCCTAGAGGAACACTGTAACCTGCTGGCAGTTAGCTTTGAACCCACTCCAGGCACCGGCAAGAGTTCCACAAGTCATTTCTCATTTACTTTGCCCAATAACCCATCAGGCAGGCCCGGTTATTTCCCACATTTTACAGATTGGGAAACTGAGGCTCACAACCTTGCCTGGGGTTATTTAGCTAGAAGGAGGCTGAGCAGGGACTAGGACCCTGCTCTACCTGATTCTGCACTCTGCCCTCCTTCCTAATCACCATCCCACACTGTAGCCTCCTTGAAGCTCAGGGATCCTGGCTTCTTCGAGAGGCTGAGCCCACTAGGCCTGAGCCCTCACTGAACCTGGCAGCAGAGCTGTCCCCTCTGCCTGCGTCTTAGCACGGTGGCCTGGGAACTGAGGGCTCTCCAAATACTGGGGTCAGCATATCTCAGGACGAGGTTTCTCTCTGGGGCACCAGGAACGAAGGTCCACACATCTTCAGAGCCGAGAGGTCCCGCAGGAGGCCTCTGGGTGCAGCCTCCTCTTCGCGCAGGCCCCATGGGGTCTAACAGGCACTGGGTTCAAATCCTGGCTCTGCCACTCTGCAGTGCCATAGAGGGGACACACTTCTTTAAGTCTCAGTGTCCTCAGCAGCAACATGGGGACAATTCTACCTTCCTCGTGGGCTTGTTACAAGGATCCAATGAGAAGGCTCACGTCGAGAACAGAAACTGCAGCAGGTGCTCAGGAACTGTCCCTTATTCCACCCATTGTCACCCGCTGCTCCCACGGCCTCCATACCTCTGACTACTCTGTCCCCTCTGTCTCAACTGTTCCTCGGAAAGCCTTCCTTCACACACACACCCCCACCCAAGTCTGGGTGTGGTGTCTCTCGGCTGGGCTCCTACAGCACTGGGGTTCACACCATCAGACCCGAGCTATCATTGGGACTGGACACGACCTGTGGCTCACGTGCTGGTGCTTAAGAACATTGGCTGTTCCCAGTGCTGACACTGTGCCCTGGGGCACCCTGACGTGTGTCATCTGCTCCATGGACCAAATGACAGGGCACCTGGTGATAGCAAGCTCCCTCCTTCCCAAGGCAGCCACACCGAGCTGCCCTGCGTTCCCTGGGGTGCACCCACCCCACCCTGTCTCTCCACTCACCAAATAGATAGCATCTCGAGCTTCCACAGATGCCAGGTGGCCCAGGGTCGTTTTGGTGGTGGTGATTGATGGTGTTTTCTGGAGGAGAATCTTGTGTTGGATGGTGACTTCGGTGGGTTTGATTCCTGGCCACTTCCTACAAACAAAAATGCATGAAAAGTCCTACAGGCTTATCTTCATCATTCACAGTGCACCCTTCATCCCTGGTGAAAAAGGTTAGCATTAAAAAAAAAAAATTATCATGCTTTAAACGTCTTAATTAAAAGAAAAACCCTGATAATAAACAAATGGGACCTAATGAAACTTAAAAGCTTTTGCACAGCAAAGGAAACCATAAACAAGATGAAAAGCCAACCCTCAGAATGGGAGAAGATATTTGCAAATGAAGCAACTGACAAAGGACTAATCTTCAAAATTTACAAGCAACGCATGCAGCTCAATATCAAAAGAACAAACAACCCAATCCAAAAATGGGCAGAAGACCTAAATAGACATTTCTCCAAAGAAGATATACAGATTGCCAACAAACACATGAAAGGATGCTCAACATCACTAATCATTAGAGAAATGCAAATCAAAACTACAATGAGGTATCATCTCACACTGGTTAGAATGGCCATCATCAAAAAATCTACAAACAATAAATGCTGGAGAGGGTGTGGAGAAAAGGGAACCCTCTTGCACTGTTGGTGGGAATGTAAATTGATCCAGCCACTATGGAGAACAGTATGGAGGCTCCTCAAAAAATTAAAAATAGAACTACCATACGACTCAGCAATCCCTCTACTGGGCATACTCTCTGAGAAAACCACAATTCATTGCAGCTCTATTTACAATAGCCAGGACATGGAAGCAACCTAAGTGTCCATGACAGATGAATGGATAAAGATGTGGCACATATATATATAATGGAATATTACTCAGCCATAAAAAGAAATAAAATTGAGTTATTTGTAGTGAGGTGGATGGACCTAGAGTCTGTCATACAGAGTGAAGTAAGTCAGAAAGAGAAAAACAAATACTGTATGTTAACACATATATATGGAATCTGAAAAAAAAAAAAAAGGTTCTAAAGAACCTAGGGGCAAGACAGGAATAAAGACACAGACGTAGAGAATGGAAGTGAGAGAGTGGCATGGACATATGTACACTACCAAATGTAAAATAGACAGCTAGTGGGAAGCAGCCGCATAGTACAGGTAGATCAGCTCAGTGATTTGTGACCACCTAGAGGGGTGGGATAGGGAGGGTGGGAGGGAGACCCAAGAGGGAGGAGATATGGGGATATATGTATATGTATAGTTGATTCACTTTGTTATACAGCAGAAACTAACACACCATTGTAAAGCAATTATACTCCAATAAAGAAGTTAAAAAAAAAAAAAGAAAAACCCTACTGAGCATTTAACATTAAGCTTCGTCAAGTTCTTTTTTGCATTTTCATACAGTTTAAATCCACGTGTATACACAGTTGGGTTCTGCACGGGGAAGGGGAATCCCATACCTCTAGGTGTTTCCCTTTTCTGGGTCTCAGTTTCCTCGTCAATTGGCCAGCGAGGTGGCAGTCATCAGTTCCTGGCCTGCTTTTCCTATTCTGCTATAAAACCACTGCTGACAACTTAGCTGGGCAAATTGCTGCCTTACTTCTTCTTCCAGAGTAACATTCTTGGGTCACAGGGGACAAGCACTTTGGTAGCTCTTGTCATACATGATGGACAGCTGTAGTGGATCACAGTGCCACCAGCAGTCTGAGAATGTGCCCCACACTGGGACAGGCCTCCATTCCTTTGGGGGCCCCTTTGTGGGTCCTTAACCACGTGAACTAGTACCTGCTGAGCTCTTAGTATGTGCCGGGGCACTCCAAGTACAATCTCATTGAACTTTCTCTTCATAATATCATGTAAGGTAGGCTGCCATGCCCATTTCACAGATGAGGAAACAGGCTTAGGACACAATGCCTTCCCAAGATTACCAGGTTTGTGTGACGTCAGAGCTCGTGGCCCTAACCATTCCACTGCACCACCCCCAGCAAATACAGCCATTTGTGGTATTACTCCCTGCTCTCGGCTCTCACCTGCTCCCTCGTTCAATCAGGGGCTTCTCACTCTCTTCCTCCAGGGAGAGCCCAGTGAGTTTCCTCCGTATTAGGATTGATGTTTTCTGTTTCGGGGGCTCCATCTCTGGCAGGCAAGAGACAGGTTACTGACAGCGGCCTCACCCACAGCCTGAGGTCAAGGGGACCCCCGACCTTACATTTAGAGAAATGAGGGCTCACTCCCCTCTTCCCCACTTGGAGTCTCAGGCAGGAGGCAGAGGCCCCTCCCAAACAGAAGCCAAATGCACCAGATTCATAGGTGGGGGTCGAGGAGATGGCAGAGGGGTCAAAGCTGGAGGGTGCGAGGTATGGTTTGGGCATGGTTCCCAGGTCCAAAGGCCTCAGAATGATGCTCTGACTTTCTTGCAGCTTCTGTGAGCCCCCGAATATGCTTTGTAGAGCCTTCTTTGGCTTATACTAGGTCAAATGGGTCCTGAACTAAGAATTTCTCCTGGAATGCATACATTCAAGGTTGTCCCTCTCATGTCCGGCTCACTGACCTGCCCTTTGACGTGAAAAGAAAGGGGCTCCGTCCACGCGGTGAGCAGCCCTCTGCACCCTGGTCTGCGTGGACGGCAGGGCCAGGCTGCTTGGCTCAGAGCAGGAGAGGCTCCTGTAGACCTGGTGCAGGGGGTCTCCCTGGCCTGGCAGTTCCCTCCAAGTTACCGAGGCTGCCTCCCTGCCGGCTCCTCTCGCCTGTTCTCCCTCAAGTCTGAACCCTAGGGTCTCTGCAGGCTCTGCTCTCCCAAACCAGGCTCACATTGGCCAAAGAGACCCCCAACACTGGAAAGTGACCAACGCCTTGAAATTCATATACATTTTGACCTAGAAAGTCCACTTCTAGGAATCTGTTGCCCCGAAACAGAGAAATATGGATGCAGATGTTCCCTTCAGCCCCATTACAGGAGTGAAAAGCTGGACGTGGCCCGATGTGCACCAGCAGGGAACTAATCAGTAACATACGATGCACAGCAACTGAAAGTGCTCAAGGAGGTGATGACTGGCCTGCCCAGCGTCCGCCCAAGGGGAAATTAGCTTGCAAAAGAGCACACACTTGTGATCCATCCTCCCATCCCCCCACGGATATACACACAGGCCTGTGCCCGAAGGGAAATAACGAGGACAGCCAGTGTTAAGGGCACTTATTTCTGGGTAGAATGACCATGTTCTTCTCTTTCTTTGTAACTCATACTGAACTTCTCATTTTACTGTAAGAAATATTCATTGTCTGTCTAATGAAAACTTAAAAATATAAAAATAATATATTTATTTACTTAATAGATTAGTGATAAATGGATAATATTTAATATATGATTTGAATCTTTGTGTAGTTATAAAAGTAATTGGTGCACATTATAAAAAATTTAAACATCACCTAACGGGGAAAAAGAAAAGATTTTAGAAATCTCTCACAGCCCCACTTACCAGAGATGGTCATCAACAGTCTGGTACCTGTCTCTCAGGCTCTGTCGCTCTCATTCTCTGTCTCTGTCTGTCTCTCACACAGACTCATTTACATATATGCGGGGTGCATGTTTATATCACATATGTGTTTTTTTAATAGTATCATAGGTAAGTATAATGGTCACCTTGCTTTTTCCTGTGACCGTATTCCTTCAGGACTTTCTGATTGTCACATAGAGACCTACCACACCCACTTGAACAGCTGCACAGTACTCCCTCCTACATCTGGACCATAATTTATTTACCCAATCCTCTATATGTATGTAGATCTGTATATAATATGTAGATATTAACATTGTTTCCAATTCTTTGCAATTTCAAGCAGTGTTGTTAAGAATCTGCTTGAAAGTATATCTTTGAGAAAGTATGCACGTATTTCTGTTGGATAAATTCCCGGGGTTAGAACTGCTAGGTGAAAGGCACACACACTCAGGACTTTGAAGGCACCGACAACAGAGTGTTCTCCAAGAGACTGGGGTGGACGTACGCTTCTCTGAGAGGCTCTGTGGTGCTCAGGCTTCCAGACAGCCTCACCAGTGCTGGCTGTCACTGAACTTAAAAGCCTTGCCAGGCTATTGGCGAGAAAGGATATCTTAATAATGTTTATATTCACATTTTTCATCATTGGTGAAGTCAAGCATCTTTTAAATTTATTGGCCTTTTGAATTTCATGTTTGTTCTCTATCTCTTTTTACAAATTTGGCCTGTTAGAGTTCTTTATACCACAGGGATATTAGGCCATTCTCTGACCTATTAGTTATTAGGAATATTTTTGCAGTTTGTGGTTCATCTTTCCATATTTTGACATTTTTCCTTGTTTTTGTTTTGGCCACAGAGAAGTGCCAGCCATTCCTTTATGGCTTCTGGCTCTCATAGTTAGGAAAGCTGTCCCTACTCCAAGATTATGAAAATATTTAGCATTAGGATTTCATTTTTTATATATAATCTTTGATTCATTTGGGATTTGCTTTTTTAGTTTAAAAAAGGAGAGTTTTAATTAAAACAAACAAAAATTCATCAGTCCCCTCCATAGAGAATGTATTTTCATTCTGGGGGAGTTGGGGGAAAGCGGACGCCCCCCCGCCGACCCCACCCCAGGCCCATCACCCTGTGTCACACCCCCTGGGGCCAGGGCACAAGGCCGGTGGCACACATACTTGCAACCTGGACATCGTCAATGGTGACCACCTCATCCAACTGCAGCAGGAACTTCTCAGTGAAGGCGGCCAAGCTGGCTATGAAAAACCGGCTGTACTTCCGGGTGAGCTCCTGGAGGAAACATGGGGAGCACGGGGCTGCAGGGAGAGGAACGTGTCTCCAAAGACAGGCTGAGGGAGGATCTGGGGAGCAGCATGTGAGACAAGACCAGGGCCACGTGTCAACTGTGTCCAAGTTAACAGGCATCTGGTCTTCCCCAGGAGGCCTCTCCCTAGAGGGGACTTGGTTTGAAGATAGGCAATGATTCTGAAATGGCCAAGGGACAGACGTAGACAATTTACTAAAGAGGAAATAAAACTTGACATGGATCTTGGAAAAGAAGTTCTCATAAGTAATTAATTAAGTTAGAAATTAAAAAATGCAAGTTACAACGGCCAATAAAGACCATCTCCACCTATGACACCCGCCTGCTTTCATATCCTGCTTTGGCCAGGGTGTCAGCAAAGGGCCGTGCTCAGTGCTGTTGCTGGGCTGTCAGTGGGGGTGACCTCCAGAGGGCAGTGTAGCCCTCAGCATCTAGACACGGAGTGGATGGCACTACTGACCTCCAGCTGCTCCCTGGTCACCGCAATCATGGTGTCCAAATCTTCCTGCCTTTTCTCTTCCACTTGACACAGAGACTCCATTTCTTGGAAATGTGCGGGGTGTCCGAGATTTGGGTGGAGCTTCTGGGCATTTTCATCCTTCAGAAAATCCAGAAATCAGTAGGTTTTTTGACCTGGTCTTGAGGTCAGGATCAAAAAGTCACTGGCCTATGTCCTCTGCCAATTATGGCCACGGCCAGACTGATGTGTGCACTGACCTGGGTGTGTGAAGGGCTGAGGAGTGGCAGAGGAGGGAAGACAGGGGCATGGCTGGAGCTGACTCCAAGGGTTAAGAAGTGGGAGAGCTGAGCATCTGCCCCAGAACAGTCAGGGTTTCAGTCCAATAAAATCAACAGCATCCATGTCCCATGGCTCGAAGGACCATGTGGACAATTATTGTTGATCTCAATGGCCACAGCCCCATAGAACAAGCTGACCTAAAGGTTAAATCCAACAAGGAGCGTGCTGAAGGCCTTCTATGAAGGAGCTGTTGGCTCAGCTCTCGTCTCTCCAGTGCCTAGTGTCCCTCACCCCCATCCAACAATCCCAAGCCTGGCCCATGTCCTTCCCTGGGACTCAGTTCTGCCGACGCCCCACCTCCATTTCTGAACTCCCAGGGCCTCTGGTCCTGGAGAGGAGGGGCTGGTCCGGAGGGCCCCACCTTCCTTCTCTCCAGCTGTTCCTGATAATTCGAGAACTGTTCCCGGATCTCTTTGGTGGAGGTGCAGTATTTTTTCCAGTGGTGCTCCTTGAAATTTTCCATCACCAGCCAACACACCTGGGGCAATAGCTCCTCAAATCTCCTCATCTGGGCCCGTAATTCTGTAGGAATTGGGGGTGGGGGACCAGGGGTGAGCACAGAGCGGAGCCAAGTTGCTGCGGCAATGTCTCCAGCAAAGGCTCAAAGCAGCTTCCCAAAGAGAAAGGCTTGGTCTACAATGTGGTAATAGTTGTTCCATCAAAAGGGGTCCTGTGGTCAAACCAGCATTCAGAGTACTGGACTAAACAAGTTCAAAGGACTTCTTTTCTACTCTCTGTAGGACTTTCCAGTGCTTTTAAAATTCACTGCATCTTTCAGCAGTTCTGTCTCATCCATTCTCTCTTCAAATATTGCCTTGACCCTCAGTCTCCTCCTCCGCCTCTAGGCCTCTAAATAGCTGCATGCCAGACCTACTCTTTCTTCCATCTCTCTCCACCTCTCTCCCGTATTTCCATTTCTTTGTTCTTCTGTGCTGCATTTTGGTTATCTTCTTTGGTATTAAAGCCATTCATAATTTTAAAATTTCAATGATTTATTTTTCCAGTATAGAAGTTTGACTTGGTTCTCTTTCATATTTACTTGGCCATTTTAATAGTCTTTTGTTCCTTACTGATGTTTCCAATTTCCCCTTTTATTTAACTCTAAATAAATACATTATTTTATATTCTGTGTCTGATACATTCAATATCTGAAGTCTTTACTGGTCTCATTCTGCTGCCTCATGCTCAAGGTGCCCTTTTCTGTGTGTGTGTGTGTGTGTGTGTGTGGTGTGTGTGTGTGAATGTTTGTGTGTTTTACGGTGCACTCTATTTTTTTTGCGGTACGCGGGCCTCTCACTGCTGTGGCCTCTCCCGTTGCGGAGCACAGGCTCCGGACGCGCAGGCTCAGCGGCCATGGCTCACGGGCCCAGCCGCTCCGCGGCACGTGAGATCTTCGCGGACCTGGGCACGAACCCGTGTCCCCTGCATCGGCAGGCAGACTCTCAACCACTGCACCACCAGGGAAGCCCTATGGTGAACTCTTATTCTGGGCATTTTATTTGTGGGAATCCCTGGAGGCCTGAACTGAAGGTGGGCTTTTCTGGAGAGGATTTGTAGTATCTCTACTAAACAAGCATCTGGGCATGACTGACTCAAAATCATTTTAAGCTAAGGTATCAGCTAGGGGTCTTATGGATGATCCACATACACAAAGTTGAATTTAGGTTTGTCTAAGTGTGATTTCAGGTTTAAACACCACATAAGAGCTGCCTTATAGTTATGGATTCTCACTGGAGTTTTTCTTCTTCTTTATCCAGTGCCACGGCTTATAACAAGACGGTTTCCTTCTAGTCACTGGGGGAGGAGGGGATATGGTTTCTGTCTCATTCTCCTTACTGTGCAGATGGAGCCCTGTGGAGACCCAGTTTTCTGTGGCTTGTGCCCTTTCAGACTGCCCACCTTGGGTCGTCTGGTGCTTGGTCTCTGTTCCCAGTGTCCTGGAGGCCATGAAAACAGAGGCTCAAGTGAACCTGGGAGTCAGCAAGGCCCTCATGGCAATAGCCAGAGTCACTGCTCAATTTATCTCTGATTTCCTATTCTCACTTAATCTTGGAGCCCTGTATGTTTCTTACTTTATAGCTAGCTCATCCATGCGTTTAAAAGTTTACCGCAAAAGTGTTATATCCAGGATTTTCACATGTTTTCAGTGGGAGAGTTGGTCAGGATATTGGACTCCCTGAAGGAAATGGAAGTCTTCATTTAATGTAAACTGTCAATCTGCCCGAGAGGGACATAATCTGCAGCATTTCTCAAAACCTTTCGACCAGGGAACCTTTCTTTTGAGGAAGATCACATAGGATGGGATCCCACAGAGTTCACATGGGGAAACTCTGAGCTAGAGAAACAAAATGCTGCCCGTAGTTTCAATTCCAGTCATTCTATAGCTACAGTAATGAGAGCCACTGCTGATGATTTCCCCTGCATATGGCAGGGCTGTGAGGGGCTTAATCCTCAAAAAAGCCTTGCATGGTGGGTATTATCCTTGTCTCCATTTACAGGCAAGAGAAGGTGACTTGGTCAAGGTCATATGGCTGGGAGATGGCACTGCTGGGTCTCGACCCCAGGTCTGGCCGTCCCCTAATCCTCTCCCTCTTCTACCCGTGCTGCCCCTCAACCAACACAGAAGGCCTGTGATGGGCCCTCAGGTTCCCTGCCTTACAAGCAGAAATAATCAGGACTTATGACTGCATAAAACACACATAGCTGTGGACATGGAGAAATAGGAATGGGGGCGGGACCTATGGGTGTGTTTTCACAGCTCCCTTTAGGTCGTTATAATAAACATAAATGGCAAGATGTATCCTGCCTGCCTCTTTTCATGTCCCTATTCTCTAGGAGGCTATGTCTATCAAGTTCATCATAGCCCAAACCCAGCACAGGCCAGACATACAGTAGGCACTGTGGAAGGATTTTTCAAATGATTAACACAGAGGCACCATATGACCCAGCAATTCTCCTCCTAGCTATAAACCCAAGAGAAACGAAATCACACATCCACACACAATATGCACGTGAACGTTTGCAGCAGCAGCATGTATAATTGCCAAAAGGTGGAAACAACCAAATGTCCATCACCGAATAAATAAATAATACTGCATGACTCCATTCATGTGAAAGCCCAGATAGGAAAATCTATAGAGACAGAAAGTAGATTAGCAGTTGTTTATGGCTGGGGACATGATGGAGGGACAGTGGGTTCTAAAATTCACAGTGGTGATGGTTGCACAACTCTATGACTATATTAAAAGCCACTGAATGGGTGTAAAGTGTACAATTCAATGTATTTTAATATATTAAAATTAAATAACATTAAATGTATTAAATTCATTAAGTGAATGTTTCAATAAAGCTGTAAAAAATATCTATTCAATGAGTGAAACATTTTTAGTGATACAAATCACCATATTTCTCGAGAAAAGTGAATTTTTTTTTGGCATTGTTGTTTCTCCCCGGTTAAATCTGATCAAGGTTTTTATCTAATTCTAAGATGTCAGCTTTTCACAGGGAGGCTCCTTTGCCTCCCAAGTGACCTCCGGGTCAGGAAGGCATCATTCAGGCCATGAGAGGCTCTGTGCCCCCCACCCCACCGGCCTGCAGCCCATCTGCTGGCCGCACCCACCTATGAGGCAGGAGTTGTGGTACTCAGCAGCCTGGCTGTGGTACTCCAGGATCTTCCTGCAGATGTTCTCTGCGCACTGGTCAAAGGTTCCGTACATGCAGTCGGGCCTGGTGATTGAGCGCTTCTCTTTGCAGTAAAACTCCTACAGGAAAGGGTTGAAAGTGTGGGTGCCAGGCCCCTCCCCAGGGGGCTCTGGCCCAGCATCTGGGCATCCTCCACCGTGCTCTCCTCACCCCCTGGCCTTCTCTACTGCTGTCCTCTCTGCCAGGGTTGCTCTTCCTCCCTGTGTGTCCTTGTCACCACTGTCAGTATCCCAGGGCTGTGCAAGGCATGAGCGAGCCAATGGTATAATTCTAGGTATCCTTCAAGACTAAAATGGGTCTTCCACCCACCAGGCCGAGAGCTTTCTCTGAAGCGCCAAGCTGGGCCACTAATACGGATGACCCAGAGCTCTTCTCTGAAGACACCCAGCCCAGGGGGAGGCAGACAGGAAGCACACAGACACCCCTGTGTGGGGTGCACTGGACCGGGGCCCTGGGTCGCTCCTACTAGAGGCCCCCTGCTCCCACGGCCCCACCCATTCCTCTGTGGTGCCACAGTGTCTGTCATCCTCTGCTGGGTGCCGGCCTCTCAGGGACAGAGATGGGGCTTGTTCCTCTTGGCACACCCGGTATCTGACACACAGTAGCCAAGAAATGGTTGGTGGCTGAATAAATGGGTAAATGAATGGATGAGCTTGAATTTCTAGGATGAAAGACAGCACATGAGGTGACAGAAGCTGGGTAGCGTGGTCATGGGGTAGCTGCAGTCCCCTTTGTTCAGTTTCACCCAAAGGCCATTATCAGCAGAAGGCAGGAGGCAGAGCCCACTGGGGACGTGTGACCAGCGGATGGCAGAGGGGCAGGTAGAGCCCTCACCTCCACCACGGTCAGCAGGTGCTTGTTGCTCTCCCAGAGGAGGCTCAGGATGATGCCTTTAAAATCCCTGCAACACACAGGAGACAGACCCCTGAGAGGCCTTGTCTAATCACACTAAATGGTGTGGACAAAGCCAAAGGGACTGAACATTCTGAGTACTCAGCAACCCGGCCAGAACTGGAGTTGGACAGCTCGGGATGCCCAAGCATGTCCCCACCTAATATTTCTGTTCATTTAGTTTAATGCCTCTTGCATGTGACAAGCTGAGCTTGGCAGCTTCCAAGTGTCTCTGTTCTCTTTTGTCCTCATCACTTCTTGTAATTACTCATTCCTGCCCCAGGGCCACTGCTCACACTGATTCCTCTCCAGGGAACACCAACTTGCCTCTTGGTCACGTTTGTTCCTGCTCTTCCTTAGATCCTGGCTCAGTGGTGATTCCTGACTGCCTTGTTCCAATGCTCTTCGTGGCCCTCAGCTTTACAGCACTCCCCACAGGGGAACTGGGGACTGATCTGTGTGACTGGTCATTAGCCCCATCTCTCCCAGCACCTGGTAAAATCCACCAGGACACACACTGTGCGTCTGTTTTTGTTCACCGTGGAATCCCCGGTCCCATCGCAGTGCCTGCACCTATCAGTGCCTCAGTCTTGGTTGAGGGAAGAAAGAATGATTTCTTATAAATATTAGTCGAACGAGCAAGACTGCCTGTAGGACCAAACATCCTCTTTCTGGTACCTCTGGCCTTTGGGTTGACTGTGTGCACACGGGGTCTTTACTGAACAAACCTGCACAGATTCAGTGAATATTCCTGTCGGTTAGGTCAACTGTCTCAACAGTAAGACTGAAATAAGGGACAGATGTGTTAGAACTGCATGTACCTGTAGGACAACTATTTTTTCACAATTTCTATAAAGTGATGCAGTGACTGCTTTACACACACATCAGCTTTGGCATTTTCTAAAATACATGTATATAAGTCATGCGATCTTTCATTTAAAAATTCATTCATCATAATTAAAGAAAATTAGAAATAAACTGAAAAGCAAGAAGAAAAAATAAATGCTAACATTTTACTGTATTTCCTTCTGCTGATTTTTAAATTGGTTTGGAGCTAGGTTCATGGGCATTTTACATTCTGCACACTTAAAAGTGTTCCCCCTACATTATGATATCATTTTAAATGGCTGTGTGACACCATCGAGTATGTATGCACCATGGTTTACAATCCCCCATTTTTGGACCTTTAGGGTTTTTTTCCCACTTTTAACTGGGATAAAAAGTATTGCATATGGTTTATCAACGCAAGCGTTTTCTTCGTCATAGATGGTTTCCTTGGTAGAGGGACCCACGGACCTGCACAATGAGGCATAAACTTATGGCCTTCACTATACTTTTCCCGACTGCGTTCTGGAAGAGTAATTTGCTGTCTGTTGACCTTGACAAAAACTCTCCCCTCGAGCAAACGTTAGGCTCCTCTGAATGCTTTCACTATACTTTCCCAAATACTTTTCCACTGTGTGATTCATGACCCTGGTGTGATTTTACTAAGGATAATTTGGAACCTCATTGGCTTCTTGGGGAAACAAGATCTCCCCAAACTGGAGGTGAGACCCCCCTCTAAGACCTCTCTCCCCCACAACGCCTATGCTCCTCCTTCCTCCTTTTGCCACCTTCCACCTTCCCTTCAGTTCCCTGGTTTCCTTTGATATGACCCCTTCATAGCCCTACCTCGCCTGTCTGTCTGTCCACCCTGCCAGACCCCTCCTTTCCCACTCCAGCCCTCAACTCCCTATGGTTGCTTGAACTAAATTCAGGCGTCCTGTCCCCATCAGGGCTCTCAAGGGACAGAGGAACTCCTGAAAGCAACTGCCTGAGGCTGACGAGGAAAAAGGGCTAATCTGAAACAGGCTGGATGTTTCACCCGCTCATATGCACTCTAGAATCCAGAAACTCTTAAGTATACTTATTTTATGGCAATATAATTATTTGTGTGAATTCAACAAAAAGCTGTCCTCCTTGTAACAGGACGTAATTGGAAACATTGTTGTATAACCAAGGCTTTGACTGAAATGTCATATGGACGACGATGCATAGGATCAGATATGACCAAACAGTTTCAAGAAACTAAGGTTGACTTCATGGAGACAATGCTTCAGAGCCCTCTTGGGAAAACCCACCTGGCACCTGGCTTATGAGGTTCCCAGCCTCACAGGTGAGTAAGGAAAGCCTGAAGGTACTGTGGGGACCTCAAGAAGAGAGGCTTTCACCCAAATCTATAGGTACTGCAGGTGAAATCTGACTCGCCTTTTTGGCTTCAAGAGGCTTTTAAGAGTCTAATCTGAGATTCTTTTTGAGAAGTTCCAGCGACGCAAACGTAAAAAGTTTAGGTGGTCAGTCACCACGCTTGCTGCACTTATGTAAATAATCAGGCCAAAACTAATGAGACCAGACTTGTTTTGTCAACAAGAATCAAAAAGAAGGGCGACATAAATTTTATGTTTCAGTGGGAAACTATAGCACTCTCTGGTGATTAGTAGATTCTATCCCTATTCATTGGCTTTGAGGTTTTGTGACCTCCCTGGAAACTGGCATGGATCTTGCTGTCATGTACGTTTTGTCAGTTCTTACCAAATCTCAATTCTTCTAGTCTCCTTCAATATCTGGCTACAACTCTCCACTGAGAGCTGAAACCTGACTATCTAGGTCCCTGTTGGGACTCGAGGTTGTTCTGTAGCTGGCTTTTCCTCCAGGATCCAAAGAAGCCCTGCCAGCTGGAGTGGGGTGATGGGCAACTGGAATGCCAGGAGCTACTCCCGAGTGGGCCACTCTGGGTGCTTCGGGCCCAACGTCTAGAGAGCCCCTTGACTGGCTGCTCTACTACCAAGTCTCAGTAGACGGTTCAGCTGGCCCTTAAGGGACAAAAGGTGACTGAATAGAAATGAACTTGTCATTCAAAGGAAAGAAGAATGTCTTCTTGGTGAACGTCTAAATTTGGTGGAAATATCTCTCAATAAACTTAGGTGAGTTAGGCTGAGACAAACCAGTCTCGACCCTTACCCATCCCCACGCCGACCTCTCCTGCTCTGCCCCCTACTTCCTATTTCCCTTGGTTGAGTTAGATTTAGCTGCCCCCTGACAAAGATGACAGGTTAAAATGGAGTTAAAGGACATGGCGTTGACACTTACTCCGCCGGAGGAGGTGGCTTGTCTCCGAGCACCTGGTACTTTCTATCTAGTCTGTTGGGCTTGGCATACCGTGTCATGCTGTGGGGCAAAGGTGTGTCAGTGCTCTGGAGGCTGGAGATGAACACAGGCAGACCTGAGCCCGCGTGAGCCCCACCCGCGCCTGCCTGTGTGGCCCCCGCACTTCGAGATGCTCCCTCCCCCTCGGCAGCTCTGGAGACAGCCTTATCGCGGGTGAAGCCCTGACCACTCAAACCCACACAAGGCTGCCGAGAGTGGTTAAGGGACAGAGGTGCTTGGGCCCAGAAATCTGTATCCTTTTCTGTGGTGAGGAGCCAAAGAAAAATAGGTTGAGCCACATGTAGGGTTGCCAAATTTTCAAATAAAAATACAAGTTAAACTTGAATTTCTTAATACAACACTGTAAATCAACTATACAACAATAAATTTTTAAAAAGAACTCAAATTTCGTATAAGCAATGAGAAATTTTTAGTGAACATCCCATGTGATATTTGGGACACACATATATAATATTAAAAATATTATGTGCTGTTCATCTGAAATTCAAATTTAACTGGGCATCCTGAATTTTCATCTGGCAGCCCTAGCAAAATGTACTTCCTTGGTAACCACTGAGACACTGAATATGCAAATGGACAACAGCTGGACCATATATAAGTAGGGAACTCTGGCCCATAAGCTGCAACAACCTGCCTAGGACACCAACCCCTTAGCTACAATAAAAAACTCAGGAAGGCGGCTTGTGGAAGTCAGACTTGCAGGAGGACAGATCGCTATTTCTAGTGGCAATCCAGGAAGCCAAACAATACCGTGGAAAACCACCCAAGTCCCGGACAGGTTCCCAGGGTGGGAGACCATGCGAGCTAAGCCACTGGGCGGGGGTGAGCACAGACCAGTCTAAAGCCGGTGTCAAAGCCGGCCCCTCGTGGGGTCCCTTGGAGTGTGAGCACAGGAGGTGCACTCTGAGGACATGGTCTTGTAAAGGGTGGCGGGGTGGGGTCTGGGGAGGGGAGATCGCAGGCAGCCTAGCCTTTCTACCTCGCTGCCAAGGTGGCACTGGCAGTGGACAAGCCCTTCTTCACGGAGTTCTCTGCCCGGCTCCGGAGTCGCTTCAAGCCTTTGGGTGACGAGCACCCAGGACAAGAACAGAGGATCCAAGGTGAGGTGGGGCCGGGTGGCACCACCAGCTGCCCCACCACCGGTGTCCTGAGACCTGTTTGCCTCTACCTGTTTGGGACCGCTCTTTGTCACACTGCTGGGTTGGACATTTTGAGTCAGGAAATCTGAAACCAAAGGAAAGGATGTGAGCTTTTCCCCAGCGACCACGAGCACGGCTCAGGCCAGGCACTGGGCACCATCCCAGTTAGCCCACGATGCCACGTGAGTCTGCCCAATCGTGAGCCCCACTTCAGAGGAGGAAGCTGAGGCTCTGAGAGGAGAAGCCCCCGCACAAGGTCACAGCTGTCAAGGGTGGGCTCACATGGGGGCTGGCTCCCGAAGGCTCAGGGCCCCACTGTGCACACCCAGGCCACTCACTGCAGGATCCTCCTGACCACCTCCACAGCTGGGTCTTCAATCAGGGACCTCCCCATGCGGCTCGGCTGGGTGAAGGACTCGGGGGTGACCACGTCTACCTTGGCCTCTTCTTCATGGGCTTCTGAAGACACCAGGATGTCACTCTCTACTGCCAGGTTGGTCAAGATGTCGTCCTGCGGGCCAAAGATCAGGGCCCGATTGTGTGGGTGGCAGGCAGGCAGGCAGGCTGGGTTCCCGTCCCAGCACCACCTTGCCCAGGTGCTGCGGCTGGAGGCCAGCTGCCTGACCTCTTTGGGCCTCCCTTTGCCCTTCCGTGAAGTAGCAGTGATCATATCTACCTTAGAGGACTATTCATTCGTTCATTCATTCATTCATTCATTCACACGTGCATGCTTCAAAAATGTTTCTTGAGTGCCTGCTTTCTGCAAGCCTCCACCTCGAGTTGGACCTTAGAGAAAGGGTGGGAGTGGTGGCCCACCACGAGTGCTTAGTTGAACTGTTCCCTATTTTATCCTGCGTCTTGGCTCAGTGCTAGACTGTAAGCACTGTAAGGGAAGGACTCCAGCTGGACTCCTAAGTTTCACCTTGTGGGGCACAGTACTGATGGTGTGATGGAAGCTTAGCGCTAGTGCCACAGCGGGAAGAGCCTCCCCAAGGAAGGAAGGGCTGGTTCAGAGCGTGGCAGTGTGAGGCAGGGCCTGGGGGTGGCCAGGGCAGAACTTGAGGGGGGTCCGCTTATGCTACCATCGGCTCTGTCACAGCCCTTCTGGCAGCTGGTTGAGCACCTCTGGTGTTTAAAGCTTGGTGAGAGAGGGTGGGGTGAGGGCAACAGGTTCTGCCCTCTTGGGGCACACCGTCTAGGGGAGACGGCTCCTAAAAGGGAGACCTCACTGCATAGTCTGTGGGCTCATGGGGAAGTGGGACATGCCACCAAAACCAGGGGGTGAGAGAAGGCCTGGGGGAAGAGACCTCTTATGGGGGCCAGAGAAATGAAGTGCCCATGGAGGGCAGACCTTGGAGGAGGTTGCTGCGCAGGTCTAGGTAAAAGGTCTGGATTTTATCCCAAGGGCAGGAGAGTGACACGGGAAGACTGGCCTTGTCCAACATGAGGTCTGGCTGCAGCTCTGGGAATGGATCACGGGGGGAAGTGAGAGGATAAGGGCAGCCACGCGGGCAAGAGACGGGGGGTAGGACAAGGCCATGGGGGTGGGGTGGGGAGAAGCCGGTGGCTGCTCATGGCAGCGGGTGGGAAGCAAGAGGCTGAGAGGTGAGGCTGCCCTGAGAGCTGGTGGGCCCTGATGGCAGAAGGAGGTGCTGCCAGGAGGTGAGGGGTCTCCTAAGAGACCAGTGCAGGGAAGTGACCCATCTGGGATTTGAACCCAGATCTGACTCCACAGCCTGTGGCCTTTCCAAGGCATCCCAGCAGGCCTGACTTCCAGCAGTGGCCTGGGAGATCTTCTTGCCTTGGGCTCTGCTGAGCCCTGCGGGTTTCCTGGGAGCCAGGACCCAACAGCTCAGCCGCTTTTCCCCATGGCCGCCCCATCCCACTCCTTACGGTAAAGACCACTTGAGTCACAGATACCATGTCCAGCTTGCAGTTGAGATACTGAATCCTCTGGCTCAGTTTTTCTTTCCAAGTTCGAACAAGGCCAAGGAGGTCTTCTGTGGTCACTATCTAGTGCGAACATGGAGGAAAAAAGCCACAGGAAGCAGGCTGCGGGCAGGCAAGCTGACTCCATGTGAACTGCAGGAACCGGCTGGCTGGCAAGGACACCTCTTGGCTCCATGGAGGCCCCTCACTTGCAGGGAGGGCCCTGTGGGAGTGGGGAGCCCTGGGCTGGCTCTCTCAGGCGGCTCCACTGCAGCAGTGGATCCTTCCCTGATGGGGCATCGGGAGCTCTATTCCTGGTTCTGTGGGTTTGTTCTGGGCAAATGATTTAAGCTTGTTCTGCTTAGTCTCCCCATCAGTGTGATGGGGACACAGAATGTTCCTTAGGATCTTTCCTAGTTCTGATGCTCTACGTGTAGAAGGAAATATTTGGCCCAAGATGGCGAGGGTGTGTAGGCATGAAATGGCCACAGCCTTTCTGGAGGGTGATCTGGCTATCAGATCAAATACATCAAATACATGACCCCTTAGAGCAACAATGCCACAGACCATACCTTGCAGGGGGCAGGGAAGCACCCGTGAGGATGTTCACCTTCCCCAAGCAGCCCACACGGCGCTCAGTGGTCCCCACACATTGCTCCCTGAATGGCTCACTGACCTAATGGATGACCCAGGCCAGGTGGCGCCTTGGCCTCTTCCCACTCCCTTCATTTCCAATGCACCCTGAATCCCGCCCATTCCCCTGCCGCTCAACCCCGGGATTGGAACATGTCCCTGCTGGAGTCTCGAGTGGTGACACTATTCGGTCTTGGCACTCTGCCTCATTCCTACCTGCCTCCCCGCCTTTCTGCACCCAGCAGCCAGAAGGTCTTCTTTAACGTGGCACTGAGCACACGGCCCTGGGCACACCCTTGCCTGGTCCCCACTACCTTCACGGAGCATCTGATGCATTGCTTCCGCCTCCTGATCACCACCCGGCAGGAGTGTCCAACCAGTGTCCTTCGCCAACACAGGACCACCCGCCCGCTCAAGCAAATGCTCCCCACCCCATGCCAGGGTCTGTGCAAGCCCCCTGGTACCCTGCCCAGTGCCCTGACACATCAGATAGGAAGTGAGGAAATGTGGGAGAGCAAATGTTTCTGCTCTGAAGAGAGTTGTCCCTAAAGGGCCCGCTGAAGTGGTCACAGCAGATTAAGCTGGTTTTCCCCTGCTCCCCCCATGTATGTGTAGAAACATCTGCACGAAAACACAAGAGGTTACATGGGACCTCCACTCTGTGCTTTGTGGATGTTCGAACTTTTTTCACCAAGCACATGTAACTATGCAAGAAAAAGCAGTAAAGATAGAAAAATAAATGTCCTCTCAGTGCTAATAACAATAAAACCTCAACTTAGTCACTGAAATGGAAGACAGAACCCCTGGCCAGGACATCTGGTTCTCGAGTGCCTGGCTGAACTGTGGAGAAAAGATTACCTGGAGTGGCCAGGGTGCAGGTGGCACAAGGGACAGAGACATGCACTAGGCAGAAAAACAAGCAAGTCAACAACGTAAACACGCAGAGACCCGCCACACTGGTCAGGGCCTGGCAGGCACCTGGAACCTCGCTTCTCCCAGACTTCACTCCAGTTTGGACTTTTCACAGCTTATACACAGAAAATGGAAGTAACCAATTTATGTGCAATGGTCAAAACAAAAGGAAAATCAAACAAAAGGTGGTTGTTCAGAGGGCAGAGTCCTGCCTCTGTTATTCATCCAGGGCTGCGTTCCAATTACAGGGAGGGAGGTCTGGTGACATCAGAGGGGGAGGGAGGCCAGACTCAAGCCCCTGTGTTCACTGGCCTCGAGATGCCTGCCTGGGAGGTGCTAGGGGCCCGGGGCAATGGCTGGTTTCTCTTCTCATCCTCAATTCCATTGAATAAAACAGGGGTTAAGGAGGAAGGCTCAGAGGCCCCGCTGGTGGAGAAATCTTGACCACAGATGTAAGTTTATTTCCAGTTTACGATTCTGGCCTGATGCATCTTTACTATTCATAGCTTAGTATCCACTGAGCACTTACTTTTTCATCTCCCCTTGAGCTTTGGCGCATTTGCACCTTGCTTTGAAGCTGTTCCAGAGAAGAATTTAATCCATCTGTTTGCAAATTGGATTTTGCCACCTGGAAAAACCAGAGGTTCTGAGATTTGTTTCTAGAATACTTATTTTGATCAAGAAAATGTTCTGCAAATCATTATCTGAGAGGTGGATTAAGTACCAAAAAGATGAAATCAGGGGGAAAAATGCACAGTCATATCAGAAACTCGATCAATGCAAATTTAAAGGACTTTTTTTTTACTGTCAAATAGTTAAGTTTTAAAAATAAAACTGGCGACCTGCAGTACTGGTTGAGGGCGTTAGGAGGACACACTCATGCCCTATTGGTGAGGGGATGTCTGTACAAGCCACCTGGAAAGTACAAAGAGCCTTAAAACATTCATGCTCTAACCCAGTAATTCCAGCTCTGGGAGGCACCCTATGGACACCATCAGAGTTTCCAGTGCAAGCATGTCTAACACACCATTGTGCATATTATAAGTGAAACCCACCAGATGTTCCTCCAAAAAGGATGGTTAAGTAAGAATGGCAACACATTCGGGAGAGAGAAACCATCAAAGTGATGCTTTTGAAGAAACTTTTCAAGATTATACAGCTTAAAAAATTGTAATAAATAGCACCCTTCCCTTGTCCCCACTGCCCTGACCCTCACTCCAGCACCAGGAGCCCAGCTCACACGGCCCTGCTGACCCGGCCCCCGTTCCAGCCTCATTGCTCCCCACTTTTTCCTGCTCGAGCTCTCTCTCCCCTTGGCTCCAGCTCCCCAGGATTTTTTTCACGATCTCTCCAGGACACTGCTCCCCACCCTCCTGCCTGGCTGGCTCTTCCTTCGCCATCAAGCCTTGGGAAACATCACTTTCCTAGTCCAGGTGAAATCCTCTCCTCTACATCCCCACGCGCCTCACACAGCCCTCATGGCCTCTGTAGCCCAGATGGCCTGGCATGGCTAAGGCCTGAATTTCTGGTGTCAGTCAGACCTGGGTTTACATTTTGGCTCCACCATTTAAGAACTCTGTGTTCTTGCCCTAAGTCACTTAATGACTCTCTGCCTCAGTTTCTTTATCTCTAAAATGGGGATAAGAACAGTACTTGCCTCACACAGCTCTTGTGAGGACTCACACAGTTAATCAAAATAAGCCCACTGGCAGGCTGCATGGTGCATAATAACTCAGTGGATGTTAGAAACTATTACGATTTAATCTCTGACTTCCGGGCTGGAGCGCAAGTCCCATGGGGCAGAGACCACACCAGTATCCCCAGCACCTGGGACAGTGCCGGGCATGCAGGTGTGTGCGATAAACATCAAGTCCCATGGGGCAGTTGTAGAATGAGTCTGTCCTACCTCGCACTTGATTTTCACTTGCAGATTTGTCAGCAACCGCTGGATTTTCTCTATGAAAATAAGGTCCACAGACAGGTTATGGAATTTACTTTCAAACTTGTTGATGACATCATTAGCCTTAAAGAAAGAGAAAAAGTAAAGGAGTGGGGCTTAATTTGGAACTTTTGGACTTTAGAAGCAGAGGGGGACAGGCTCAGCTAATGGTTGGAAAGGGGGCTTGACCAGCCTATCAGGCAGTGAGCAAGGCAACCACCTTGTAAGCGGGTATCACGGGAGCCTGGCTAGAGGTCATGGTGGGGCTTGCTCACCTGGTCCAGGTACTCGCTCTCCATCTTTTCCATGTTGATCATGATTAAATTTTCAACAAACTCTATCCGGGCAGCTTCCTTCTCCAGTCGATGACACAGTGAGTCAATTTCTTCAGAAGAAAAGTTGCCTCCCTCTGAGAACAATCTGAAAATAATTAGGGGGAAATAAATCCACTGATCAGACCTGAACCTTTCCACCCAGTGCAAATACTGTGGTTGACAAGGCTTTAGATTAAAAGTACAAGATCATGGAAGAACAAATGCAGGTAGCTCAAGGACAGAAGCAGGGAAACAACCCAAATGTCCATCAAGAGATGAATGGATAAACAAAATGTGGTACATCCACACAATGGAATATTACTGAGCCTTAAGAAGGAATGAAATTCTGACAGATGCTGTGACATGGATGAGCACTGAAGACATTATGCTAAGTGAAAAAAACAGACACACAAAAGAACAAATCTGGTGTGATTTCACTTCTACGAGGTCCCTAGAGTAGTCAAATTCATAGAGACCGAAAATAGAATGGTGGTTCCCAGGGGCTGGGGGAGGGCGAAATGGACAGTTAGTGTTTAAGTTAGTGTTTAGAGATTCAATTTGTGAGGATGAAAATGTTCTGGAGATGGATGGTGGCGATGGTAGCACAACAGTGTGGATGTACTTAATGCCAGGGAACTGGACACCTAAAATGGTTAAAATGGATCATTTTATGTTACGGATATTTTGTCCCTATTAAAAAATGGAGAGGCAAACAAGACCACCTCTCAACAGAGAAAGCCCAGTGGCCCACAGAAGCCCCAGATGCTGGCTCTCACCGGCAGTGCCTGACAAACTCAACGTTGGTGTCGCGAAGCTTGCCCAGGCTCTCCTCCAGGGACTGGCGGAAGCTGCGCAGGGACACCTGGACGCCGTCGACGTAGCTGAGCAGTTCCCGGTGCAGAGTGCTGCTGAGAGTGACCAGCCTGGGGGACACGGGAGGGCAGGACGGTGACCTGGGCGTGCGCGGGCAGCCTGGGAGGTGGCTTGAGCTCCACATGCCATGCCCAGCTGTGGGGTCACCAGAACCACTGCCTGTCTTCTCTGGGTAGAGAAAGAGGCCTTAGAAGGAAATTCACGATGCCAGTGCATGTGGGGCTCTCAGTGAGCTGGACCAGAGGGCAGCCCTCTCCTCCGTCCGGCCCCTGCCACCAGATTGCTAAGAGAATCCCCAGGTCCTACTGGCTCCGCCCCCTCCTCCCTCCACCCACTCTCTCTAAATCACTCCCACAGACGTGGCTCCTGGAGCCCGGGACTTCCTGAGAGTGCGGGCTGCAGGTTTTCCCTGTGCACCAAGTCTACCCTAACCAGCTCACTCTGGTGCACCTGACCATGGTACAGACACCTGTGAGGGCTCCTCACCGGTGACCTGACGGAGGCCTCCCTGGGCACACAGGCGCCTCACCTCGAACCCCTGAGGGGCCTCCCGGGACCCCTCACTCTGCCCTGAGAGCAGGGCATCCCCACCTCGAGCCGGGCCAGTGCTCCTCTCCGACGGGGGAACCCTGCCCCGTCCCCACCTTTCTCCATCCCAGGCCCGAGGGCCTCCTGCAGGAAGCTCTTCCTGACTTCCCCTGATAGGAGCGGTCCTTCCCACCATGGACGTTTCAGGGCACATCATCTGCACCCCTGCGCTCTGACCACGGGCACCCTTTTCTCCCTTTGGCTGCTCCCCCACCCCCAGCACCCACCCCCCCGGCCAGACGCTTCACACAGCTGCACCCTTGCGAAGAGGTGAAAACCCTTCTGGAAACCCTGACCCTTCTATTACCCACAGAGGGTGGGGGAACCACTCCTCTGAGAACAGACAGCCACCTGGCTGGGATTCTAGGGCCACGAGGCTGCAGCTGAGACCCCCAGTGCCCTTACTTCTGGCTCTTGGTGGCGTTCAAGAAGATGTGCTCCATGTCGTAAATCTTGCGCTGGAAGTCTTTGCTCCTCATGTTCTGCTCCTCTTGGAACTGGCAGAACATCCTCCTCTCCTTCCTCAGCGTCTCCATCACCCCCGCACAGTGGCTGTCCAGCCGCTCTTGGTGAAGCAAGAGTTCGGCTGGAAAAGGACAAGGGGAGATGAGGCCCTCCAGGATCTCAAGCCAGCTCAGGACAGCGCTTTCCTGGACAGTGATGTGCCTCTCCCGGGCCAGCTACAGAGCAGGGACCTTTCAGGCCAAGGTCCCTTATCCTGTCCCCACTGCCCTCCCCGGGGCCTGGCCTGGGAATGGACACAGATCTCAGGGAGGCCAATATGAGACAGCCCTGGGTCTTTAACTGGAGAGGAGGATCCGGCTGGCTGTGATCAGGGAGGTGCCTGAGGTGGAGACACCCTGCCTGCAGCAGAAGGGAACAAAGCCTGGGAGAAGGACCGCACCTCCCACCCCAGGAGCAGGTGGGATGGGTGTTGGGGAGGGCAGGGATCTCGATGCGAAGGCCTGGGAGAAAATAGCCAGCACAAAGCTGGGAAGTTGGCATGTGTCCCTTTATATCAGTGGCTTCTCATTTCCAATGAGCCTCAGTTACAATGGACTTCAAGCGCTCCATCATAGGCCTTTAGAGTTAGCAGAGAGTCCCAGCTCACCTCATCTCACCTCCTACTGCCTGGAGTGGAGGAAGTGCTATGGCCTCAGCTCTGCCAAAAACAAATGGTGGGATTCTGGGGCTTTGCTTCTCCAGCCCCGTTTTTCACATTATGCACTGGGCCAGGAGCCAGGGAAGGGGAAGGAAACCAGCCTTCAGGGAGCATCTTTGTTTATATTTATAATTAATGCACACATTTCCCATACGAGGACAACGAGGTTCCGAAAGTGAAGCTGGTCTCCCAAGGCCACAAGCATTGGGCCTCTGGAGTCCACACTCTT